CACACACACACACACACACACACACACACACACGAAACTATGTACTCAAAGTAGATATACACATCCATATTTTTCTACCTTCTATCCATCAACTTTTGTATCATGTGGTTTACACACAATCGTGTGTTTTGATTGTTAACAACCTTACTTGCAGGTTTCCACTAGGTGGTTGCAAATGTCCCATTGTGAAATAAGACAAAGCTCAGAGCAGCTAAGCAACCTAACTGAGCTCACAGAGCTGGAAAGAAAGAACAGTCCTTGAAACCTTAGCCCAGATCTGCCTGACTCCCAGGCTTCAGTTCTTTTGGCTCTTCCAAGTGACCCCAAAAGGGAACAGAGCATGGAAGTTGCTCTGAAAACCAAGGCAAGCTAGATCCTAGCCATCCTGTGACATGCATTCAGTTGATTCAGCAAATCCACACTGAGTTCCTTCTCTGGGCCACATACTCATTAGAAGAGCCAGAAATACAGCAGGGGGCCGAACAACATTCCCTAGAGGTGTTTGGGAAGACAGGGAGGTCATCAAAGGAAAAGTTTAGAAAAATCACTCCAGCACGCACTCTGCACCCTGGGGTGGGAAGGCTGACGCCCCGCTCTGCAGGCTCTCCAGCACACAACGAGGTGCCTTAGATTAACGTACTGGTGGTGTGCGCAGGATGACCTTGGCACAGAACAGGAGAAAGCACCTTCAAGAATCCCAGAGGATGGGATGGAAACCAAAACCAGCCACCAGCAGTACTGTAGAAAAAAGGGCAGGGAGGACAGGTGGTCCAAAAGGACTCCATGGGGCTGGGCAATTACTTGCATGGGGTTAGAAGAGAGAGAGAAACTAAAGGTGCCCTGAAGTCCCCTTGGGATCCTGGAACAACCATGTGCTTCCAGGGAGCTGGGAGGTCCAGGGAAAGACCTGCCGGGAGGGGAGATGCTGTGTTTGGAGGGTTGGAGATGAAGACCCGGGGCCAGGAGGGAGCAGCTGGGTTGCCTGGACTCAATGAAAAATCCTCCTCCAACTCCTGGAAGACAGGTCGTGCTGGCTGGTTTGGCCCAAGGGCTCACACCTGAACAGCAACAGTGATTCTCAATAGGACAGTCCGTGCCCCAGAGGGGAGGTGATGTTTGGCATCTCCAAAACAGGTGGAAGGAAAGATATTTTAGTTAGAGGGAGTGTCGCTTGAAAACAAGCATCACCTATATTCTAAATGAGCTGTCTTTTAGTCATGATAGGACTTTGGCCTTTATATTTTTTAAAGTTAAAAAAACATTAAGCAAGAAGATGACACATTTTTTTGTTTGTTTGTTTTATTCCATGGGAAGGCAGAGTTGAGAATCACTGAATTCAATGAAAATAAGAAGATTAAAAAAAAATGGTTCACCAATTTGAGTTCCTAGGATTCTTCTAAGTGGCCATGAGAGAGGACAAATTGGTCAGCACAAAGAAGGGAGGATGCTGGGAGGAGAAGGAGGAAGAGGAGGACCCAATCTGCGCTAGGTGTGAAGCATCATCATAGGACACACACACACATACACACACACACACACACATACACACACACAAAAAAAACCCCTAAGTGCAAAATTTTCCTCTTCGTGTAGGTCCAGAATTGTACCTGGGTTTTCCCAGAGTTCTCTGTGACTTCAGTGTCTACTCTCAGGGGCCAATAGCTAGCCACCTATCCTACTCACAGGGCTTTGTGGAGAATGACATTTGGAGCCCCCCCCTCAAAAAAAAAAAAAAAAAACATGGTGAGGCCTGCCTCATGTCACCATGTGAAACCTGGAAAAAGACAGTACCAGCCCAGCTGTTAGTGGTACAGTACTGAAGCTTCATGGGCTCAGCACTCAGTGGTCCCTAACTGGATCTCGTTCTCAGCCAAGGGTGCAAAAGTCTCAGAAGGAAAATGAATGTCACCTGAAAACAACCTGGATGCCGTTGTGGCCAAAGCAAAAACAGATGGCACACCTCGGGCTTTGCAGATCCAGGTCATAAGGATAGGGTGGTGCTGGGAAGCCAGAGGGAGGAACATAACGTGCAGGGGGGAGAATCCGCCTGTGGGAAGAAAGAGACTTGGGACTGTTACCAGGAGGGACCCTGAGCCCTCCTGGCCCCATCACTTGGTGGGATCTGGCCACTCCTTAAGACGTGACTCCTGCGGTTTATTTGTTAGAAGGAAACCCACAGGAGCACCCTGGACATTCCTGTCCTCTGACAACTCAAAGAATGCTTCTTTGGTTTCAGGTAGACCACCTGGAGTGAGAACAGCCCCAATAATAATATCCAATGGGCACCTTCTACATGCTGGGAACACTGTGTGCATTATCCCTCAACTATACTGAGAGAAAATGCAATTATTCTACTTTTAGAAGTGATAAAGAGGTCTCAAGAGAGTATAGGGACCTGGCCAGCTTTACTCAGATAGTGTCACCAAGGCAGGATTTGAACCCAGTTCTGACTGAGTGTAGACAACATTCTTTTCACCATGTACTTCTACCACAAAGAAGGACTAATTCTGCCTTGGCCTTGACACCGGGGTGCATAAGTGAAGTGAGACCTACATTTCATTCCTCTGGACACATTCAATGCTCCTGGACTAGCACAGAGTGTTACGGCAGAACAGGCTCCCGGGAGTAGTTCCTCCATCTGCTCTTCAGTCATATCCTGCTGGGAACCATCTTGGCGTGTGCCAGAGCCACCTCCCAGAGGCAGGAAGGGACTCAGGGTGCTCTCATGGTGACCGTGATTCTCACCACCGGCCCTTGCCAGGCAGCAGTCACCAGTGGTGTACACATTGGTGTTAGCATCTCTGTAAGAAAATGACATCCAGAAAGTGAGCTGGGACCGAGACAACTGTCCTCCAGGGCCCAAGCTGGCCCTCCAGGCCTAGGAGACTGGGCAGGAATTCCATGCTTCTGTGAAAAGAGCCAACCCAAGTGAGAGAAAACTTGGCAAGTTGGCCAAGGCAGTTCTCAACATGACCTCCCTTTGACTAGATGGGAACTTTAAGTGGTGTGAATTTTGCTCTTGGACAAAATACCAAGAGGCCTAAGATGCCAAAAGCATGGTAGGGACATGTTCATTCTGAGCTGTTCTGAAAGAATGCAAGCTTGGCAATCAGCAGCACCTCCTTTCACCGGTCTATAGAGATTCATGGGCAAAGTAAGTACACATCCAATGTCAGGGAAGGGCCAGAGGCTAAGACCCCTGCACCCAGAGAGTTCCTGGCAGTGACCTGTCAGGGCCAGCAAGGAGGACTCAAGAACTTGAGGACCAGGATTCTATATCTCACCACAAATACGGCCAGCACCAGGATTAGCCCTTGGTACAGGAAGGTGGCTTGTTGGGCACTTAATACAGGGACCCAGTTACATTTTAGGAGACCTGAAACACTAGAGTAGAACCAAAGTCCCAGAAGAGATACTGGGAAAAGCAATAGCTTTTATATATATGTATGAAGTTTAAGGCTATAAGGATAAAGCAGGAAGTTGCTACTTGGAAGTATCTGCTATTCTTTGATTTGGCAAAAATGCCTCCAGTAGGTCTGGTCTTTCTGGAAGAAAGACTAAGAAATGAGGGTGAGAGAACTCCTCCTACACTGGAGCTCAGATCTTCAGAATCAGCTCCCAGAGCTATCTCCCCAGACCTGGGGAGGCCCGTGCGTGGTAAGGCACAATTTGGACAAAGGGCGCAGGAGACAGATATAGAGCAGGGGTGACAGGGGAGTCCGCATGGAAGAGATAAAAAGAAGAGTTAGACAAAGGAAATCAAAAGATGCTTCAGAGATGGACAGGGCAAAAGCAGGTCTGTCACCAACCAGACCCAGAGACCAAAGGATTCTATACCAACAGTTCTACTTTTCTTCTCACCTGTATCTTTCCAATTCCAGTAGCCCCAGCTCAGGTTCCTGGCTATCATTTATGTAACATTCTGTCGGCACAGGAGAGGTGAATGAGTCACCATGTGAGGATGCACAGGGAAGCTTATTCCCTACGCCAAGATCTGCAAGCACTTCAGTTATCTCTGAGGAATCATCTGACAGCCAAGTATGTGGCTCAGCCACGAGTTGCCTAGATCACATGTGTACAGTCCCCACTCTCAGGAAGGTTCTGGTACATGTTGATCTCACCCTGCATCCAGGTATTGACATCCAGCAGTCCCTGGTACTCCTGGTTCTGCCACTCCAGATCAGCTGTGGTCTCGGCAAACAACTCCTCCACAGGATGAGGCTCTTCTTCTGGGCCAACTCAAGGCTGCAGAGAGTTAGCATCACACAGTTCTGCACACTGTCCTTCTGTAACAAGAAACGATGGAATCAGAGACCCAAGAGCATCAAAATTCAGCAGTGAAAATCATAGCCAAACTCACCAGGCATGGGGACATTGAAAGAGGTCTCTGGAAAGCATTGTCCATACATCTTTCAAAAAAAGAAAAATCTGGGCTGGGGATGTGGCTCAAGTGGTAGTGTGTTTGCTTAGCATGTGTGTGAGGCACTGGGTTCGATTCTCAGCACCACATAAAAATAAAATAAAGACATTGCATCCACCTTAAAAAAAAAAGAGTATAAAAAAATCTAACTTAGGAAATCCATATCTGCAATATCTGGCAAAAAAAAAAAAAGTAGCAGCTCTTAACATCTCTTTGAGTGAGTGCCTAAACTTCATACTTTGTTCTAGAGAAAATGGGAAGTTGATTTCATAAGAACTATTTCTGTGGGTCACACTTAAATCTGCACCATGGAGAAAGACACTGAATTAATGTTGAAAGAACTCATGAGTGAAACTTCTAATAGATGCTACCACCAGGCCTTGGTATGCTGAGGGTATGCCGTGTGCTGAGGGTCATGGAGGACTCGTACCAGGCTATGTTGGGCTTGGTGCTCAGCCTCCAGAGCATTCCACATGCCTCTCAGCTCCAGGATCTCCGACTGGCAACACCACAGTTCCTCAGAGCAGGACACGGCCCGCAGGCTGTTGCCTTCAGACTAAAAACTGGGGGAATCAAACAACAGATCAGCTTGTTGCCCCAGAACAGAGCCGGGGGCCTTCCCTGCTCTGCATCACCACCCTCACCTGATCTTGGAACCACTGCTCCACTTCCTGGAAGTTGGTCTCAACTCTAGCCTCATATTGGCACCACAGTACACTGCTGTGGTCCACAGTGGTCCTCCAACGCTCTGCTCAGGACTAAATGAACTTGGTATCTAGTTCTATCTGGAACTTATCCTCCAGGTGACACCTCAGAGTATAAGCTTCCTGTAGGGACAGAAGGGACAAACACCTGAAGTGAGAAAGGGCTTTGGCAGGGCAGAGAGCCCCCTGGTTCCTCTACCAAGCTGAAGGACGGGGACCCATACACATGCCAATGTCTTGCTCAGGGTCCAATGGAAGCACCCACTGGAGATCTTCTAATCCACAAGGCAAGTTTGCCATATTGCAAAGAGGCCGTCTGGACTCTCAGAGCCACAACCACCTTTCTTTGTTTGTTTGCTTTTCTTGATGCCAACTGAGCCAGGCTCTGGTCTGAGAGCCACAGGACAGGGGAGCTCCTTGCCTGCCCAGCTCCCTCCCCAGGCCATGGATGTGCATTCACAGGGTGGCACCTGCTTGTGTTGGCTCTTGAGGCAGAACTGCTCCTCCTTCAGAGACTCCTGCTGGGCATCCTGCACATGCCCACCTCCCCCTGCTGGAATGGGTAACTCTCATTTTCCTGCCTTCTGTCTGTCAGAGGAGATGTGGGGTCAACGAGAATGCCTATGGGATCCCCTCTCCATTGCCTCTACCTTTACCACCTTGGATCTTCCTTTTCAACATTCACTCTATTTGACCCTGCCATTCAAGAGTTGCCAGGACCCATATCATTGTGGCCTTTGACTAGGAGGGAAAGTGAGGCTCAGAAAGAGTAAGTGGTTGCCCCAAATTAAATGCCTGGATAATAGTAAGTGCACAGACTCAACCTTAGAGTTCTGACTTCAAATGCAGTGTTCATTCTGCCAGGTGAGAGACATTCAGCCAGGAAAAAAGTGACTCACAGTCAGCCTCTGGACCTTCAAGTTGCTGCTTTGCCACTTGGAACATATCCCATTGATTTTTTTCCCCCTTTCTCATTCACTCATTTACAACTCCTGATACCAAGGCTCCTGTGACTATTCTTCCCGCTGATGGATTCAGCCAGAGATCAGTGACTTTGTTAACAACTTGTGTGCTGACAATTTATTCTTTCTTTTTTATTGATTTTTAAAATAAATGATAGCAGAATGCACTGCAATTCATATTACACATATAGAGCACAATTTTTGATATCTCTGGTTGTATATAAAGTATATTCATACCAATTCATGTCTTCATACATGTACTTTGGATAATAATGTCCATCACATTCCAACATCATTGCTAACCCGATGCCCCCTCCCTTCCCCTCTCACCCTTCTGCCCTATCTAGAATTCATCTATTCCTCCCATGCTCCCCCTCCCTACCCAACTATGAGTCAGCCTCCTTATATCAGAGAAAAAAA